TTCAGCAGTTTGAAGTGGAAGCAAACAAAAGCACCCCATTCGGGAACTATCCAGAAATTCTGAGCTTCAAAATTGTAGCGCAGTTTTAGTGTCATAATACATGCTTGCGACCGTCCAGATACACTTTCCTCTGCAGGTCGGAGAATGGATGGACAATGCATGTCAAACAAGCTGTTTTTGTTAAAGGAACAGAAGAGGTTACTGAAATTTTATCTCGGTTCTCCGCGACTAAGTGAGTTGTTTCAAGTCGTGCCATAATGGGTCCTCTGGCATCCATAGTGGAGTCTCGGTTGAACCGAAAAACATTTTTCTCTACTACTGGGACCTTTTCCCGTTTAGTTTGTCCAAGTTCAGCTTTCCAAGGAGGAGAAATCAAACTTTTTAAGTTTATTGAAGCCCTGGTATTCAGCCTTCCTACAACCTCGTTAACCAACCCACCAATTAACAACCCTGTGAAGTCACAATCACTGGCTTAGGTTTCGCATGGCTGGACCATTTCAGCCCATGGTGGATCACATCCATTTTGTTCGGAAGTGCCTGGGTTATTACACACGATATGTCCTACAAATGAGCATAATCTTCCGTAGGCGTTTTAGATGAAGTTGATCAAGCAGTCAAATATAACATAATTCAGGTTGGACTGTCACGTCGGTTATACCACTACCTTGTTAAGGATAGAATTTCTGCATTTTTAATATACCGTCCGTTTTATAGAGGCGTTTAGAGTTTTTAGAATGGGTCATCAGTCTTACTCGTGGCTTTCTTGCGCAGTTATTTGTGTTCTGCTCAATATATGTTGACAAGAGTCAAATATTGTTCTCCTACAATGTTGTCACACTGGATCTCTCTGTAAATTACCGCAATGAAGTACACTTATCCGAAAATAGCTCATGATTTCGTTTGGACAAAGTATCTCCGACAGAGTTGTTGGCAATCTGGATTGATCTTTTTCTCTCAAAAGTTTTGCTGTAACCCAAGCTAATCGAGAAACCATAACCAACCATCGTTTCTATTTGGTTTTATGGAAGAGTCGGTGAGATCACCATATGCGTTTGAACAATTCACTTTTGCCGCACGTCACACCAAATTTTATGCCAGTTTCTTAAATAACGTTTATCTTAGTAAGCTGATTTCCGGAAATTTCCAATAAGGCTGACTGTTATATCATGTCCACTACAAGGAATCACACATCTTTGTTTCAGGCAGCGGCCGATTGTCAGAAATTCTCCGGGCAGCAATTCGAAGGCTTAAAACCTAGTCTATCTGCCAGTAGAAATAATAAGACCGTTAAATTTGAACCATTTGTATAATCCACTTTTACCCTTGACTGATACTGAGGCACACAACACCCTGAAGAGAAATTTCATTCTCACCGGCTTTCCTATTCAGGGAGATTTAGCGATTTGGATCATTACCAGTCATCAAATATGACTAACCTTAAAAATTTTCCAAGAAATTCCATCGTTGTTAGCAGCTAATTGCTCGTCTCAAACAAAATTTCTATGGTATACTTGTTGTCCTGCTGCTGTGCTGTGTGAAAGTTTTGTCGATTGTGCAAAATAATGTCATCTCACCTACGAGGCACTTGTCCCAACCAAAGTACGTTACGAAGCGTGAGTCGCTCATCCATCACCATAGAGTTCACTCTTCTTAGAACTATCTGACGTATCCCAGCGTTAATTTCATTTTGCTATCAGATATAGATCGACAACCACCGAGAGATTTCGTACATCCTCTACGCTTGCAGACCATGTTTTGGAGCAATATGCAGCATCAATTGCACTACCTCACTGTATATCTTATCTTTCGGAGACAATCTGAAGTCACACCTGTTGCCTAGATTTTCGGCGCTAGCAAAAGCTCCCACCCACTCAACTGCGCACTGATGATGTCTCCTCGTATGGTGACGAAACGTTTGCAAGCGAATTCCCGAACTCGGCAAACAGATCAACAGCCACCTGATCAACAACCAATAAAATCACCCGAGCTTCCAATATTTCACCACAATACCAGCTCCCATAGCCTTCCCAGGTCTGCAAGTGGTATTGTCTTCGGTCAGTTCACTAGGACTTATAACACTGCTAGTTGAGTAACTTTATACGTGTAGATTGGCCAGTCTGTGGGCGCACGGCAGTAAAGCATCAGTGCCAACACTGATGGTGCTGTCTTTGATGATGATGAGGCAGGAATTTTCAGTTAGATTCCACTCAGTCTTGCGGCAACACCAGCAGCTGTGAATCGCATATCAACTTGTGCGTCAGAATTAGGTAGTTTATTCAAAGTGGATGGCTTATCTAATAGACCTAATGGCTCTGAGGAAACATCCCGGAGTGATTTCAATCCCGAAGGTTCCAGAAACAGGTAAAGAAGCTCCAAAATGATTATCAGTAACACAGTTGGAAACAAATGGTTACAGCAAACAGTTTTGCCCTTGACTGTTGGATGCGGCAAACTCAGGTATTCACCCGTGCTTGTCCCCAGGAGTTAGCATAATGTGACCCTATAGGACATAAAGAACTGGAAAGGACAACTCTGAACGCATGACACCGCCATAGATTCTAAAGATTGAGAGACTCAGAGCAGTCGTCAAGTTGATGTCGAGACGCTTAAGTGGTGCTCCAATTCGACAATCCGTCTCGAAATAGAGATGTGGTAAGTGCATTCCTGGTCAGGGTAAGACTCAGCTTGAGTCTCACTAATCTACCTGATATTTAGTGAGATTGTATAGAATGATGATGTATAGCTCAAAATCGACTGGTGCCATATGGTCCTGACTGACGATCACGATCATTTCCTTTAGGTATTCCTGGGTGAAAACCGCCCAGGAAAAGTGCTTTGTCACATTAAATGGGACTGCTTAGGCAGCACTCTGTGAGAAGTTTCCCATCAAGGAGACCACTATAATCGGTCCCCTTGATAACTGCCTCTCCACCTTCCGGCTCCGTATCCTGTTGTCATCAATACTATAACTTGTCCGCCTAAATTGACTGCCACATAACTTCGCCGTGCAGCTTCTTACGTAAATGCAGACAAATAGGCTGAGATCAGGCAAATTGTGTACTACCTCGCTGGCAATCAACTATCCCTCTGTCGCTTCTTGAGAATGGCAGATGGTGCTTTGATTTGCACAAACTGACTAGGGAAAGGACAAGACAGTACACAAATTTATAGAGACCATTAACAACTCCTGTTGACTTCAATTTCCAGTACTAGCACTGGGATATTGCAAATGCTGGCCATTAGGACTAACAAAGAAGCATTTACATGATAAAAAACAACTATTATTTGGCAAATAGCTCCGATTTTCTGTGTTAAATTATCTTCATTGATAAGGAACAGGTGATAGAGAAGCTTGCTATAGGCATCGCTCACTTTTTGGATTTTAGACTCACGGTCCACTTGTTAAATCTGTTCTAATTTTAAAAAGATTTCAGAAGAGAACAATATCAGATTAAATCCACCTGTTTGTTCTCTCTCTTGACGCAAACGATAAAAAATTTGCTGGTTGTGTTGCACGCCTACCCATAGGTACCGCATTATGCTTAAAAGCTTTCTTAACGTGCCAGTTCATAAGTTATTTATTGCGTAATCAAAATTTAAAAAGTGCCTTTTATTGTCAAGAAAGAGATCTTTTGTTCGGGCTAGTGACCATTGGATTTGGCCGACCTACACGACAATCTTTTGGGGCCAGCTCTGGAC